GCGAGGAGCCTGCTTCTCCCTCTGCCTCTGTCTCTCTCTCTGTCTCTCATGAATAAATAAATAAAATCTTTAAAAAAAAAAAAAGAAAGAATTGTTCTTTCTATTTCTATAAAAACTGCCATTGGAATTTTGATAGGGATTGCACTGAATCTATAGATGATTTGTGGTAGTACGGACCTTTTAACAGTATTAATTCTTCCAACCCATGAATACAGGGTATCTTTCCACTGATTTGTGTTTTCCTTAATTTCTTTCATTAATGTCTTTTACTTTTCACAATGTTTTTAAATTTGTTTCTTCACTTAATACATGAGTGCTTAAGTTAATCTGAACATCTATAATTGTAAGCTGGAAACTGAGTCACTTAAGAACATTTAACACTGAGAAAGACGGACATTTACAAGGCACCTGGTTTTCATAAGTCTGTCTGAATCATTCAGGGGTCCCAAACCTAAGTGCCTGTAAAAGAGGTAGGTACTACAAATTAGAGATGTGGACAGGTGAGTGCCTGCCCCAGCTAAGGAAGAAGCTGTTACTTGGCACTCACCAATTAATGCCAGTTGTTCCAAATTTTCAAAAGAATTGCATTATAAGACTTTCCTAACTTCGAAAATGCTGGCAAATAGTTCAAAATCTTAAGAAGCCGTGAGCCAAACAAAAGGTCTAGAAACTTGGCCTCACAGCCACCAGTTTGTATATTTTACCATTTCACAATAAGTGAGCGACAGTTCTACAAATGTCTCCAGACGATAACCTCCCAAATACCCCATGTCCCTTAGTAGCCAGCGCTGAAAAGCAGGACTTCTCCTAAGGTCACATCGATCATTGTAGTTGTTCTTCTAAAATGGACAGTTTCCTCCTGCTAGAGATTTGATTTCATGGTGTCAGCATATGAGGTTCCCGTCACTTCATGACATGTCTTCTTTCAGGCCTGATGGAATTGGAACAGTGACTGTTGAAGAGAAGGAACGTTTCGAAGAAATCAAAGAGAGACTCCGAGTTCTGCTGGAAAATCAGATTACACATTTTAGGTGAGGATCTGGAGTTGAGGGGTTTATTAGGAGAGTGAGACCGGGGAGGGGCAAATAAAGGGCTTGATTTTCTAAGACTGTTAACCTATCAGAGACACTTTGGAGATTTATGAATAACTAAATGGAAGCAAAAACCAGTAGGACAGGGCTCTACGATAGCCAGAAGGCTTTGCAATCTTAAGTGCATTTTATTTCCACTGAAAGGACAGAGCCCTTCTTGTGCAAGCTGACCCTGGTCATCAATCTATTCTTTTAAAATCTATTACAAAGTTGAAGGTGAAGTTACTTCAAGGTTCCTATATCAGTGAAAAGTCCTGGGAATCAGATCATATGAACAGGGAAGGAAGGCAGTGGTACCCACATGAGAGTCTCCACTTTCTCCCTTGCCTCAGAAACAGGGCTAGCTGTCTATGCAGGAAAAGAGAGAAACTTAGATCAGACTTGGCAGATTGACTCTTCCCCGTACATGCAAGACAGCGAGTGTGTCCAAGGTTTCAGCCTTGCACCACATAGCCCACTTCTCCCTTGTAGCAAATCAGACATTTGTAAGGCTGCGCTGGTGGTTCTGGACTAGAAATCCTGAAATAGTAACTCAAAAATAGTAAGAACGTTTAAAATAACAAAATAAACAGTTCCTTTTTATTAAACACTTCCCACGGGTCAAGATACAGGACTAGAGGCTAGTTAGGCATTAACTCAGTTTTTTATTCCCAGAACAACTTGGTAAGGTCGTTATTATAATCCCCATTAAATATAAATTAAACTGAAGCTGAGAGAGTTAAGGACTTGTGCTAGACCACCCACCGACACCTGCATAGGACATACTCTGAGTTTAAGTTGCCTCTGCTGGTCCCTTTGTACCATGAGGAACAGTGTCTGGAAGGATCTGCGACAGCCTGAAAAACTCTTAGGAATCCATGACATAGTTCCATCTGCACCACCAAAATCCTCCTGGACAAATTTTTATTGATTACACACTATATGCAAGAGGTATTGCCAATAACAAAAGATCCAATAACAATTAAAAACCACAGTCAAGGAAGGACACTTAGCAAAATTATAAACTTGCTCAAAATACACTCCTTCATTTCCTATAGTAATCCTTTGGAGACTTAGTAAGTGTGTTTGGATTTAGCCTATTTCAACCAATATTTTTTTTACTGCTGGTCTCTATAATCATATAGAAGGTCACATGTGAGCTAACAAATGGTTTTCCTTCACAATAGAAATCTAAACAGAGCCTTATGTCATCACTCTAAATATTCTTTTCTGCTGCAGACATTTGCAGAGTCTCTCTTTAGTCATTATTCACACATACACATATATACATTATATACACACATATATGGTGTGAATTCAGATTAACATAACACAACGTGACAAAATAAAAAGCATTTTCTGTTCCTCAGAAAGAGTTGCTATAGGAATCAAATTGCAGCATATTTCATGCTAAAATGTAATATATTTGGGCAACCTGAAGAATTTTCTCTTTTTTAGGTATTGCTTTCCATTTGGTCGACCTGAAGGTGCTTTAAAAGCTACTCTATCACTCTTGGAAAGGGTAAGAATGAAAGTAAAAGACAGATTACATAGATACAGACACGAACATAATCGTAATGAAATATTGTAGTTGAATGACCTAGTTTGTCATTTTTCAAGGCTTCGTTTACCATTCATCAAATACCAGAATAAACGCAAGGAAACTGCCAAAACTCTAGATATTTTATCTCCAGACTCCCAAATAGTTAGCATATATTGAAGATATGTTCCTGGCCCTTCCCCGATTCATAGATGGGCTTTGCCATCCTAACTGTGCATTACAGTTCTGTGTTTTCTTTTTAACGATGGCTCTCAATCAATATTAAGTCACAAGGAGGCATTCACAACTCATTTTATACTTGAGCTCTTTAAGAAATATAAATGAGTAACACATTTGGTTGAACCATCTTAATAATCTTTTTTTTTTCCACTGAAAGGTTTTGATGAAAGATATCGTGACCCCAGTACCACAAGAGGAGGTAAAAACAGTCATCCGGAAATGTCTAGAGCAGGCTGCTTTAGTCAACTATTCCCGGCTATCAGAATATGCTAAAATCGAAGGTAAGGCTCCCTTCTGCCCCCATTTTTTAATTTAAATTTTGGTATACCTCCCTGGGGAAGAAGAATCTGTCTTTTCTAATGGGCACCAGAAAAGAGTGGTCCATCTGAGTATGTTAAATTGAAACTTGAAAGCACTTGAAATGTGAACGCTTCCTTGGCTGTGGCCAGATAAATGAATGAAGAACAGGGGCGCAGGGAACAGTCTTTGTAGGGGAAGAATACTGAATATAGGATGTGATCAGATAACTAAGATCCTCCTGAGAGTCTGTGTCGTCACTAAGTTTGCTCTGTGACTTTTCCTATGAAAGAGTTCTGTAGGATTGTTAACTTCTTTAAGTAGAGAAAAACAAAGCACTGTGGAGGTAGAACAAGCATGGAACGAAACATCAAGATTTTGCTTAACTCTTTCTTGCCCCTTGAAAGTATCTTGTCTTTTGGTAACATTTCAAACTTGATGGCAGGTTAGTGTCCAGCTGTCTCTGATGGCTCCTGGTTTGCTTTAGATCTCATTCATTCTTGTTGCTCCAGACCTAGGATGGTTGTTACCACTGCCCTCTCAAGTTTTAGGGAAGCAGGCACTGATGACCAAGTAATCACCCAAAAGACACTTTGAGTAAACTCTACTTGAGAAGATATGGTTCTTTGGGACCTATTCATTTGCAAAGGTATTAATCACTTTTCATTGTTACCCTGTTGGCTGCTATAGGGTGATTTGAAAACCACACCCAACTTGACCAGTGGTGTAAGTGTATAAATGTGGAAGTTCTGTGTGCAAAACTCAATGTGTCCGCATTCTGGAATCTGATGTTCTCTCACATGTGAAACACCTGACTAAAACCAGCAAATGCCCATTGTCTGCCTTCAGGACTTGACTGGGGAAAAAAAAAAGTCTAACCAACCACCAAAACCCTATCACTTACCCTGCTGAAGTCCTTGTTTCCTTAGAGAATTAGGTTAAGATCATGTCAAATCGCAGTGTTCTGTACATTACATGTCCTCCCTCTCTCAATTTTGTCTGTCTGACAATGCAAATTGTGTACCAGTGGTAATGAATTCATTGCTATGCACCCAGGGAGAAACACTTAAGAATTGGGCACTAAAAGGATGTTTATCAACTCTTGACTTGGTAATGAGTGACAAAAATAGAGGAACAAGAAGATCATTAAAGGGCTATGTTAGCAAATCATTGTTCTAGCATTTACCTTCCCAGGACATAATGATTGGTTGTATTTGGTAAAGTCAACCAGGTACCTAATAATTCTAGGCAAGGCCAGAGATGGGATGGGATCAAGAAACGTTCGGTTGCCATGGCTGCTGCCTCGTAGGCCTTGGTCTAGCTATTACTAGTCTTTTGGTAAGATCTGCTCTCTTCTTTCAGATAAATATATCCAAAAACAAACTTTAAGATCTGTAAGTAAAAATGCATTCATTTCCAAAGTAGATCAGCTGATCTGTAATTTCCTTTTGTGCCTCAATTCTTCTTGGTTGTGTTAATTATCTTTTGCACTGTGACTTTTAGGTCTGGGGATTCTTTGAAGAAACCAATCTTTTTTTTTCCAACTCTCTTTTCAGAGAAGTACCTCATTCCACACTACCTGCTCTCTTCCGCTTCTCTCCTTCCTTGTCCGTGATTGGCTCAGCCACTTTGTGATGTTACCTCTGCAAAAGTGGCTGTGACACCAATTTCAAAGCATGCTGGGATTGTTAATTCAGACAACCCAACATCCTCTGGCTGCATGTATCAGGTTTTCTTTCATGAACATAGTCCACCGTAGGCTGAGACATTGCAGCTTTGAAGATATTACTACCAAACAACTTTCTTTTACAAGGTTCCGATCCTATGCTCAGAAAAGAAATCTTACATTTTTACATTTGAGCCCCTCTGTGAGCACTAACAGCTTAGTCCCCTGAGAATTTTGGAAAGAAGTTGTAGTGATATTGCTGGAGACTATGTTTATGAAGAAATACCTCAAGAGCCTTAGATACTAAAGTCTGAAATCCTTAGTATCTTGGAGCCTTAAATCAATGAAATTCTGTTTCCCTTTACTCATGATGTTTTTGGTCATTGTACTCTTGCAAACAATTCTAAAGAGACGTGTAAAATCATGGTCACAACCTCTCTCGTGACTCACGGCATGCTGAATGGTTAATCCAGTAGATCTCCAATTTTGAAACTCCTTTTTCTTTTATCCTGTGTTTATCCCAAAATACTCTGTGGCTATTTTCCTTTGAGCTAATGTAACGTATTCCTCTAACCTATGACCTTTAACCTCTTTACCTCTGACCTAAGCCTCTTGCATGCCCAAATCCTCTTTTATAGGGAAAAAGAGAGAAATGTATGAGCATCCTGTCTTCTGCTTGGCCTCCCAAGTGATGGATTTAACCATTCGTGAGTACCTACCACCTCCTCGCCATGCTGTCTTCACTCTTTCTGTTTTCATTATTTCAAGAAAATCCAGATCCAAACCAACTCACTCTCCTTGCTTCAAGTTTTTTAGCATTGGCTTGTCTGTTGATTCTGTCTGTGAAACCCAGTGTGAGAAGTCCAGTCACTTTTTATCAGCCTAAAACAGGTTAGACAATTAAGCCATTTGTTTGTGGTAAACTCAGATTTGTCCGTAAGTTTTTCAGTTATTCTCTGTCTGTGACCTGAATGCATTTTTACTTTGCTTGTGTGTAACCCCAATTTGTAAAGTGCTTGTCACTGGTACACAATGAAAAGGTAGCCGCTAGGCCGGGAGCAATGCGTTAGGTGTCAGATAAAGGACAGTTGGGGCAAAATCATGCCTTCTTTTCTATGTTTAAGATGTCAAACTATTTTGGGTATAAGATCACGCAAGGTGGTCCATTCTCTGTAAAAATTAGATCTTATATGCCTCCTGTCTATTCTCTTTCAAGCTGGGAAGCTTTTCCTTGTTCTCTCTGGAGATTTTGACTTGTCCTTGTCCTCTAAGCTCTGGCTAGAACATATGACTTAATTGTCACTTGGAGAGTTCGTGTATGTTTCATAGCTTGATTTCACATTAAACTTAATTTTACTAATTTTCTATTTGTGCAGCATTTTCCACCTCTGTGAAGGAGCCTTTTTTTGCTGGCCCCCACACTTCGGGGCGGTGGGAACCCAAGGGCAACCTTTTCCTTCCAATATCATGTATCACACATAAGTGGGGGGCATTTTGGTCCATTTGCTCATTAATCCTGCATATGTGTTCTTGTTTCTCTCTCTCTTCTCTCCTTGTTGTGCTCTCTCTTTCAAATAGAGAATCAAAAGGATGCAGGTGAACCAACTGTATATGCATTACAAACTATCAGGACTGTTGAGTTATATTGAGTTTCTGTTTTCGTTTTTGTTTTTAAGAGCTCCTTAATGTATGGGCTCCCAAAGACTGATGTGGGGTTGCAATGATACTTAAGGAGTTAATTTGTGCTGTCTAACTATATCTCTTGCCCATTAGATGTTGACCTCTATAGAGCAGAATTTATGTAAAGGCATAAGCTTTGAAGGAACAGAACTCTGGTTTGCTGCGGAGCTTCGTTTCATCTTTGGTTTCAGGATTCAGTGATTTGGCCTCATGTGCTTAAAAAAAAAAACAAAAGTTACTGAACCGAACTACTCTTCCTCTTTGTTTTTCATTTATTTTTTCTGTTTTCTGCCCTAATGAGAAGTTTGTGTTCTTTGATGAATGTTTATCAGCCAAGACAGAGAGAAGTTGTGTCCATGTTGTTCTTGTACGTATCGTGTGATGAGACAGGATGCACGCAGAGGGTGGCTGAGCACAGGCTGTTGCTGGAGTTTCATGAGAGGAAAGATCTTAGAGAGTTCTCTGGCTTTGGAAATTTTCTTCTTGTTTGGTCCCCAAACTTCTAAGCATATTTTGAGGAAAGCTTTAACTTAAAACTTTAATAAATACATGCTTTTGATCATTGTTTTTAAGTCTAAAAAATCCTCAAAAGGTAATGAAACATATTTCATTTAATCAAAGTTGAATGCAGTTCAGATCAATTCAGAAAGCAGTTTTGTGCACATGCCAAGCACCAAGCTAGCAAGAGGTATTTGAAGACTCACAAACCTATGTTCAAAACACATGAGCCTTTCTCTCCCTGAAAGAGAAGGTATTCATTCATTCATTCATCCATCCATCCGTCCATCCACTCATCCATTCATTCATTTATTCATTCATTAGATAAGTGCTTAGTGGGAGCCTACCATATGCCAGGTACAGTTGTGAAAGCCAGGGACTATAAACAAGAGGGAAGTAGCTGTTAACCTTATGGAGCATATATGCAAATGGGCGTCTAAGTGTAAATTACAAATTCAGTACACGGTAACACCAATTGATAGAGTGATGTGTAAGAGTGCATTATCAGAAAACCATGGACGTTTCCACAAGGGTGGTGAGCTTGACTGCATCTTGAAAGATAAATCAGAATCAGTGAAAGGGAGGTGGGATTGGAAAGTGGAAAGGCATCCTAGATAGAATATGTGCAAATGCACAGAACTGTATAGCTAATAAAAATAGCTAATTGTTTAAAAAAAAATAGCTAATTCTTATTCAATGTGTATTATGTGCCAGGTATAAGTGTTTTATATGTATTAATTCATTTAATCCTCAAAACCCCTTATGAGTTAGATACTACTATTATTCACATTTTAGAGAGGAGCCATCTGAAGCACAGGTTAAAAACACACTCCTAACAGAGTAAGTGGTAGAGCCAGAACCTGAGCCCAGACAGAGGCCACACTCTTAAATACTCTGTAATTCAGTGTGATTGCAAGACAAGGTGCAATGATGGCAGTAATGGGTGCTGATGATGGCAATGCACGCAGGAGGCAAGGTCTGATATATGCTTTAATAATGGGGTTCAGATTGTATCTCATGGGCCAGAGGTTCTTAACCTGGAATCTATGCCAATGTTTGCATGCATATGGATTTTTCAAGGGAAAAACTCCACAGGTCTCACTTCCAAAGGTGAAGGCTTTTTAAGCAAGGGAGTAGCTTGGTAATTTACATTCCAGAAAAATCATCCTGTCCATACCATGATGGACAGAAAGAACTGGGTAGCAGAAAGAGAATAAAACTAGACCTAAAAGGTCAAGGTCAAAGCAGAGATGGTTTGAAGTTTGGTATGTCCCGGACCTCTTCTAGGCAAAGCAGACCTAAATCGCAATCATCGTAATTGCTTCTTCCCTGACCTTTACATCTTTTTTTCTTACCCTCCCCTTCCCTCTTCAATTTTCTTAGGGGGAACAAAGCAAAAACATGCAGATGGGTATGCAAAACCAACTGATGGAGGGGGCAGGGCACAGCTGGAGTCACCTGTGTAAACTGGGGTGGACAGCTACAGAGTTCTTTAGTCAGGCTGTGCTTCAAGAAGCTATGGGACTCGGCATATGGCATTTTGGTGGACTTATGCTTTCTGTCTGGTGGCATTATTAGAAATTAAATGTTCTGTTTAATTACAGTATCTTAAAAAAAAAACGATGTAAAAGGCTGCTACTCTATGAAAGAAAAACTGTGACTCCTGCAAATGAATTCTATAATTTTAAATACATTTCATTTAAGCTGTCACACATTCTGAACCCAGTAAGCTCTGAGAAAGTCTACACTACTATTGCTGTTTTGCCTCAATTCTTGGCTAAATACTTGCATAATTTTCTGAGCATCATAAGGATTCTACTGGAACTTGAAATAAAACAATTTTTCCTTCAAATATGCCAAGGAATTATATGATTAGATAGATAGATAGATAGATAGATAGATAGATAGATAGATAGATAGCCCACCTATGGGCCCAAGCACTATGCTGAGGACTTTACATGGAGGATCTAATTCAATCTGTATTTTAGTCCTATAAATAAGCCTTCATTATTGCCCCTTTTCAAATTCAGAGAGAATAAGTGACGGTATCAAGAAGGATTTGAACCCAGATCTTTCTAAATTCAAAAACATCCCTTTTTGTTTCTTTCCACCATGCAGCCTTTCCAATTTGGACAATATCCATTCATTCAGTGACTGAGTTCCAAAGTGTCTACAACTTTTGATCCAGGAAGAACACAAAAAACAAACAAACAGAAACCAGAGCAGTCCTTTCGGGACCAGATCATTATCAAAATCCTTTCATTGGGAAGTCTTCTTGAGCAGTTGAGGTTCTCTAAGATTGCCAAAGAACTGAGGACTTGTTTTTCTCTACAATTCACAGAAACTTGCTAGAGCAGGTCAAACACATCCAAAGGACTGCCAAGCAGATTCTGTAGTCAACACTTTGTAGCTTTTCCTATCCCCAGTCAAACTTCCCATAGGTCCAAGGTCCTGCACATATTCAGGAGCCCCTACCCCATGGCCCACCTTATCTTTCAGCCACAAGATAATGGCCCCACCCATAATCCATTAGCTGGCATGAGTTTTCAGTATGACAGCTGATGATGTCCAGTTAGCATCCTTTATGTACAGCTCCAAGAAAACACTACTTCAGAACCAGCCTGAGCACTCAGGAATTGTTACACCAAAAACTTAAATCACTATTTTGGGTCCAATGAGTTTCTTTAAGCCTCATTTTTATTTTCTGTAAAAGGGGCTGATAATGGTTCCTCCACCAAAGGGTTGCTGGCAAGATTAAAATACATATTCCAAATAAAGCTTTTAGCACACTACCTGGCACATAGTAAATACTCATTATATATATTAGCTGTTATCATTTATTTTATTTAAAAAGAAACTTCTAAATCCAGATGTGTAGTGTAGACATATTATTTGATTTCGGAAATAGAATATAAAACAATGCTTCTCAAAGTTCAATGTTCATACAAGTCCCTGAGGATCTTGTTAAAAACGTAGATTCTGATTTGGTAGGTCTTGGGTGGGACCTGAAAAATCTGCATTTCTAACAAGCTCCCACATGATGCTGAAGCTACTGACCCAGGGATTGCCATTGGGATGTCAATGAAATCTAGGGGGAAGTTGATTTATTGTTTTATCATAAACTTCAAAATAAAACATTGCAATAAAGCTCTACATATATCTGTTAAATACCCACAAAGTTCCAGGAGCTCTGCCAGGCACCAGAGCAATGAGCAAAAGTAGCCTTGGTCCCTACCTGGGAGCTTATAATAAGGTAGAGAACACAAATGTAAAACAAGTAATTATATTCTGCTGAAATGTAAAGGGAAATGTAAGGTGCTGCAGGAAGGCAGCACAAGGAGATTTTACCTAAGCCAGGGTCTTTGAAGCATTCCCAAGAGGAGATGTCCTGGAAGTCGAGGGCTGATTCCCCAAGAACTGTCTGGGGTATTCCTGTCCTTGTTGAAGTGTTTGCCTCTATTGACCATCCTTCCAAATGCCCCAGGATCCTGCCCCAGAGAGCTTGTGATCATATACATAAAAGCTTATTTGGGGACTGCATGGATATTTAATCATTAAAGCAGGATTCTTACTATAGCAAGTGACAAAAAAGAAAACAAAAAAAACAAAAACAAAAAACTCAAAAAGCTTAGGCAAGAAGGGAATTTTTCCCCCATGTAGCTAGGAAATGCATGGAGGAACTGGACTCAGGGATAAAGAATTTTAGTGTGTTTTGATCTCTCCAACTGCTGGCAGGCTTCTTTAATGTGACTGGGAGTCATGATAGAGGGGTTGGGAACAACATGGCTATAGATGGCACCAGGCTTTTATCCTAACAGACGACCCTAGAAGAATAAGAATTTTCCTTTCCAGGCAATTGTATAATATTTCAGAGAAGGGCCTCATTGGCCCAGCTTGAGTCACATGTTAATCCCTGAACCAATCATATCACCCATGATCAAGTGGGGTGCTGTGGTTGGCCTGGCTTGGCTCATATGACTGCCCTTGTATTTGTGGAAGTTATTGCCTGACATTCCCACCAGAACCATGTGGAGTAGAGAGGCAATTCTCCTGAGGAAGGTTACTGTACATACTTGAATAACAGATGTCCACTACTGTGTCCATCCAAAATTAAGTTTATTTTTCTTAAGTGCAACAGTTCAGTCTTAAGAGCAAAGCCTGATTTAGGGTACAAAGATACAAAACTAGAGAAGAAATATATTGTAATAGCATTATTTCTTCCTTGTTGATGCAATGTAATTTAAATAAAAAGTATTTTAAATGATCTTAAATCATTTTTAATTGCATCAAGACACCCGAAGTTGTTCTCTGATTTGGAAGTTTAAGTTATGATGTTTACTATTCAGTGATTTAGTTTAGTATATTTGTTAAGTAGCCAGGGGCTTTTGGTAACAGATAAAGTTATTGTATAGCTATAAGCATATTGCAACTACAGAGTATTTGTTTTTCCATGAAAGCACTGCATTGGGTAGAATCCACTGAGGATTTCCTTCCACCAGTATTTGAGGACCAGCCCCAGGGTCCTGCCAGGAACTTCTTTAGCCCCTAGAAATACAAAATTCATTGGGCACAGGTAGAGACTGACATTGAATATGATTTGCTATTTTTAAGGGCCATATGTGCTCAAGTAGAGGTATCAACAGAGGAGGTGGACCTTTGTTATAAAGGCACTCTTGTTATGGCATATGAAGGTATAGCTCTTGTTATGAAGGGATCTCGTAAAGGCTTCTGAGCAGGGGTATGACAGGCTCAGATGTGTGCTTTACGAGGTCACTCTGGCTGCTACATAGACAATGAACTTCAGAGGAGGAACAGGACTAAAGGCTGGCTGGCAGTCTTTAGCAACAGTTGAGGTAGAGATGATGAGATGAATTGCATGTCTACCCCCTCAGCAAGAGTGTGGGCACATGACCTAATACAGTGGAAGAAAAAATCAAGAGACATTTTGGGGATAGAATGGATAGGCCATGCCACCCATGGCCTTGTAGGGAAGAGAAAGATGGCTACCAGGAAAATAGTAGAGAAAACAACCCATGATTCATCCACATCTTTATTACCATATACTTTATACTGTGCTAGAGATGAAATCTTCTGAAAGGGAGTGATGAAGATGCAAGGCATCAAGTGTATATAATGGATAACCTCACTGAAGAAATTATGCTGAATTATAACCTTGTATTAAATGTATGGTCCATGGAGCCATTATTTTAGAGAGGCAGGGTACTCTGGAAAGCAGGTCGTGGCAATCTACTTAGCTTTCTATTCCTACTCTAG